CACCCACACCCACACCCACACCCACCCACAGCCCACACCCACACCCGTTTTCCTTTCTCTCGCGCTTTTTTCTTTCATTCATTTTATCTCTTTTTTTTCACTCGGGTTTTTTTTCGACAAGTTGTTCGATAGAAATTTCATCACATCATAGGTATATCGCTCTTCACTTCGACTTTTAGCCAAACCATTTGTAAATTTTTTAAACATCTATGTCATCAAAATTCACGTTTCTAAATTACCACTGTTATATCTCCCTAAACACTTAGTTCACTTTTTAACTGAACGCAGATTAGTCGTAAAATAGAGCATGATACTCTGTTTGTAAAAATCTTAGTTTCACCAACTCTCAAGAAATATGCTAATAAATTAAAGAATTAATCATAAAATATTTTACTAATAAAATTTGTATTAGCCCTAGGGTAACTTGTTACGAGTCAACCCACAGGTCAAAATAAAAATCACTCAACCCGTGAGACGGGTTGAATTCGTTCACGAACCGGTTGGGTCAAAAAAAAATCTGTTACCAACATCTCTAACCCTTGCACCGCAAACCAGTATATAACTTTATCCTTACGTCGCTAATATATGGAAACATTTATCTTTCTGCAAATATATTTCTTTTTTAATTATGATTTTGTCGCAAAATATAATTTCTCATCATATGCTCCTATAGATCGTCATGGACATTATCATAGAAATTCCACACACCAAGACAGATTTCCTTAGTATATTGCTGCTCCATCTTGTGGTTTAGGCTACATATCCGATGAATCCAAAACATATTAAAAGATTCATACAAAGCATGATTGAATATTAGACATTTATTCTTCTCACTTTTTTCACCTTCGCGGTAATATATTATGATGAATGCTTTTCATCACCGGCATACATTAACAACAGATGGTAATTTATGAATCTAAATATACGTTGATAAGCTTCTTAAACGACAATATAGATAACACCATCGTACTTCAGACTTTTAGTTCCACAAGGGTTGTGCTACTAACCTGACCTAAAGTAGTTGTTTTGTAATCATTGCTACACAAAGTTTTCTGTCAAAATCAATAAAAAAAGAATCGTATACTTCTACGAACATTCATAATTTTTTCTAACGATGTTGTCCTTACAACGGTGCTATAAAAGCAGTTTATATACACTACGAAGAAAAAACTTCTATTAATTAATGAAAGAACTATCATTCTAACAGAAGAGATATGAAGATTAACAATTTATTTTCTATTATTCTGAATTTGACAAAGCTAAACTGACGGGAAAAAGTTCAACTGAGCACTTGTTGGCTCGATCCATGGTTCAACAATACGAAGTTTTTCAACTTTTGCACAATTATCTTTTGCTTGTTGATCATTGTTAGCGATGATAAGTAATAGTGCATCATTACGAATAACGAGTTCGATCAGATGTGGAAGATGACTTCGACAGAGAAGTTGTTCAGCATAGTCCACATGTATATCGTGTAAAATAAGTGCAACTAAATGAGGAAATACAATTAATTTTGTTGTAGTATTCTTCGTTTCTTCTTGTTCAAGTTGATTAAATAAGTCTAACGTTTTAAGACGAGGAAGAGCTTGAGCTACGCGTTCAAAAAAATTATGTTCGAAAGGTTTAATATCATCGAAGAGTAATAATGTAATGACATTTGAGAATGTGTTTTTAACTTCGAAGAGAGGAAATCGATTGGAGATAAAATCCAGACGAGTATCAATAAATGGGAGTGAAAAGACTTGACATTGTCCATAATGATTATTAAAATAATCGAGTGTACAATCAACGAATTGTTGTACGCATTGTTCGAGAAAACTTTGCCGAAGTATATCAATGTCTATTTGAGGAGCATCTTGTAATATTGAACGAATATGAAAATTAAATTGACATAGATGAGGCATATGTGAAATAACATTTCGTTGTAAATCAAATCCATCAATAAAATGATCCAATCCAGATCTACTTGCACCAACAGCCAATAATAATGTCAAATTTTCAACAGTTGATAAACGAGGAAAAAGTAGAATAAATCGGTCATAATGTAGAATATTGCGATAACATATTATTGTCAATTGTTTTAAATTTGGACAGAATATCTGAATGAAATAAATCAGTTCAAATTTCAGATTACAAATAATTACTTACCGATGTTATATCAGATATAGTGTGGTCATCGTTTCGAGAAACATGTGCTACCGTCACAAACAATGAGTGCAATTGTTTCCCTAATTGACTGAGTAGCCGAACACAATCTTCGAATCGATTAAGTGCAATACGAATGTGAGTAAGGTGAGGAGATTCAGAAAATAATAGTCCTTCTTCATTAGGAAACATTCGAAAAACGCAGTTATCATCCAACTCGAGTGAGACAATCGTACGCATAAGTGATGAACAATTGATGAATCTCGACACACGACTAAAAAATTCGTCGTTGAGATCCAAAAATTCTGGAACGAATGAGAAAAGAGGCAAATGGCGCACCGAACTGTCATAATAAGAACCTAAATATATGTAAAAAATGAAAGTATAGAGCTTCTATAAAACTATACATATGTAATATGTCAGGAAAGTTTCGAGTTAAAATACTTTACGCTTATAATCAAACAGACAATCAGTCATCTTCCCACATCGTATTCAAATGTGCATAACTATCGTACACTAATTGTTAACAGAATGAAATTATAATTAGAGTAAAAGTTCAACATATATTTAGTCAACAAAATCTTATTACTCTTATAATCTATCTCTGTAATGATTCAATACTCGTGACTGAAATTCTTTAAAAGACTCACGCAATTAAAATCAAAAGAAAAGGATAAAATTTTTTATTCTTTAATTTCAATACTTAATCTTTTTTGTTGTTTTACATAGATAAGATGACCCTATTTTGCGTTTCTTTCAAATGAAGATGAGATTTTTAGTCTCATTTTTAATTTCTACTATTTAATGAGCAAATAAATCAAATCAATTTGAATGAACAATTTCTAATAAAATAAGAGTTTACCTATTTCGAACCGTTCTCCTGACTTGCGATGGAAACGACATAAGATTATTTTCAAATGTGTTAAACTAAATATGATTTCATCACTGTGGCATCTGAGAATTGTATCAAAATGTAATAAATGTATCAAATTGAGTGAAAGAGATTGAATATTATTGGAAATACATGGCAAAACATAGAAGTAAAATCGTTCGACAAGTGATCGATATGGTGAATGCCAATAATTAAAAGTTAAATCGATTGAATGACATTTTGATAGTGCAAGTTGTTCTAAACGATTATTTCCAATATCAATTATAGAACAAAGCAATAAAACTTGAGGTTTCACTTTATTGAAAATAGCTAAGATCATTTCATCAGGTAAATCAAGTAATTCAGTCATATCTTCTATGAAAAAGAATAAACAACAGATGATATTGCTAAATAGCTACTTATTTGTGTTTGATAAACAATTCGTCATTTATGTAATACATCCGTTCAAATAGCGGATAGATTTGTTCATATATCTCTCTCCTCATATATATATATTAATTCTTGACGAACATTGTTTAAATATACACCAATCATTGATGAATACGTAAAACAATGGAGAAGTCATAAAAGAATGTCACCTCGCACGATAAAAAGTAGTGAAAGATAAAGAACTTCGATTTAAGAATGTTGTTATCAAATTCTAGATGATGTGACTTACTGGTTGCTAGCATCCACCTTCTTTGACATCACCATTCATCATGTACAAAAGTATTGATATTAAAAAATGTATAATTCCAATATACGACATCATGAACCATGATCTCCAACATAAAATGATATGATACTTTTGATATTTATACAATAAATTAAAAGATAACAGTTCAAATCAATATTAACTAACTGAAAACATTTTTCTGAGATCGAAATTAAGATTTTATTTGAGCAAAAAAGGAATATTGAAAGTTCATCTTAAGTTTGTCGTATAATATTTGCTGTTTTCGTGGCGAACTATGAACGCTAGAAAACGTCTCGAAATAATGAAATGACGCCTACTAACTTAGANTCCAGTTGCTGTTGTTTCATTTACTAGTATTGGTGTCGCTGTTGTTCCATTTAGTGATGGTTCGGTGATTGTTGTTTCATTTAGTGGTGTTCCAGTTGCTGTTGTTTCATTTACTAGTATTGGTGTCACGGTTGTTTCATTGAGTGATGGTTCGGTGACTGTTGTTTCATTTAGTGGTGTTCCGGTTGCTGTTGTTTCATTTACCAGTATTGGTGTCGCGGTTGTTTCATTTAATAATGGTTCGGTGATTGTTGTTTCATTTAGTGGTGTTCCAGTTGCTGTTGTTTCATTTACTGGCGTTGCAGTGGCTGTTGTTTCATTCGCTGGAATTGTAGTGGGTGTTGTTTCGTTTATTGGTGTTCCAGTGGTTACTGTTTCGTTTAGTGGGATTCTAGTGGTTGCTGTTTCGTTTAGTGGTGTTGCGATTGTTGTTGTCTCGCTTAATGGTGTGTCTGTGTTTAGTGTTTCATGCAGTGTTGTGGTTTGATGCAATGTTGTTGCAGTAGATGTTGTTGCTTGCTGTGTTAGCTCGGTGTGTATTATGCCAGTTGTTGTTGTTGTTCCATTTAGTGTTGTTGGAATATTTGTCGTTCCGACAGTCGTTGTACTGGCAGTGTTTGTCAGTTTGGGGTTTGGTTGTCGATTGGTTGTTGTTTCAGGGGTTTCGATTTCTGTGGTTGTTGTTTCGGTGGTGGCTGTTTCGGTGATTGCTGGTTCCATTGTTAGGGTTCTAGCAATGGTTGTTGCTGTGGTTGTTGAAAAGTCGTCGAGGAACATGTCAGCAACTGTGAAGGAAATACAAAGATATGAATAGCTGAGTAATGGAATATGGTCACTACACAAACTCACATGTTGTCCCGTCCAACTGAATTTGATTGAAAGCGTTGTTGTGAATGTTCGAAATGGTATTCTTTGTTAACCATTGGCTACTCAATAATTGGAAGATAATCGTGAGTTGATTAGAATCTACAGAATTCTGTTGTACTTGATTGAGAATGACATTGTCGTTGTTTGCAAGACGACGTTTTCGAGGTATCTGGAAATTTATATGGTTATTTGATGGGAAGCTCAGTTGAAATAGAAATACAGACCTGTAGTTTATCAGCTATGCGACGTCGGCGAGCACTCCCCGTCGTTCCAATATCGACTTGATTGATTTCAATGCGGACGTTCTTGAATTTTGGATTTGTGTTTAATTTGTTTTGGAGCTGCAAGAAAATGATTTCATATGATTTAGTCTGTGTTTTCTATATGCTTTACTTACTATGATTTGAAGTTGCTTGGTTTGAGTGCTACTCAAAGTTCCTTGATGTAGTACTAGAATTCTTCCAGTGCTATCAGAAGTGAGACGTTGTGGTATTATGTACTTCAAAGTCAGTAATGAACTTTGAAAATCTATATTATATGAGCAAGTGACTTGATATTTCTTTAAATTCGTTCGTACTCACTGCCGACTGGCGAAGTTTTTCTTGTGATGTAGATAGGAATCAGTGAGAGTACAACGACCATGGAGATCAAAAGAAGGAGTAGACCGATGTACGCGGTGGAAATTAAACAAGAAAGTCGCTCTGTCCTACAGTATATAAAAAGAAATAGTGCAAATTCACTAAACAAATTGTTTTATACCGGGAAGAAGAACGATCACCAATGGATATTAAACTGTCGTTGACTATCATTTGCAGAATTCTGTATTTTCTTCACTTGGATAAAATTGTTGGCTTGGGGACAGAGTCTAGATTAAAGTAAACTACAAAGAGATCGGTCACTGATTAGTATAAAGTAAAATTAATCGATTTGTAATGATCGAACATGAAAGAAGGGTTTTGAAATAAGTGCATGTAGAAAAACCACAGAGGAACCAGAAAAATCACATGTACATCTTAGTTGCAATAGACAAAAAATAAATCAAAATAACAAATGGTTATTGCAAATAGTAAATAATACGGATTAAAAATCGTCATCTAATTACCATACTCCGTCTTATCTTGTTTGATAAAATCTACAATATATTTATAGTCAACGATTGTGCACACATCTGATTGGATGTTAATTGCGTAGATGCATAACGTACTTTTATTCTTTTTCGTTGGAAAAAAACATGAACTATTACCTTTCTGCTCATTGATTCGGAACGGATTCTTTTTTTATCATTGTTAATGCAATAATTGGTCTAGCAAGTAAAAAAAAACTAATAAAAGATAACTGTGATCAATTGACGTTCTTTACGTTCACATTCAAGTAGACAGCAGCTGATAAATATAGCTTCTGGCTTGATATATGGATAAAACTACTATCCATACCCACACGTGCATAATTTGCTGCCTGTAAGTTCCTAACAATTTTCAATTATACCCCAGTTATACGCTACTGACTTGAATTCACGATATTAGTTTCTTTTTTTTGAATATTTTAATGCAAGACCGTAAGATATGCAAATAGCATAATATCAATCAAAATAACGATTAATGATACAATGAAAATTCAATGTGGAAACGTTGTAAAAAAAAAAAGGCGAATTAGAAAATAAATATAAATTGGGATTATAATCTTATTTATACATGAAGATGGTGACAAAGATAAGTGCTAATAAACATGTATGAATATGAATCAACAATTAAGATAACATTAAGATTTTAATCATATGATTCTATATGAAAGAAGCTATTTATTCTTGTTTTTCTTGTTTGATGATAGTAAGTTGATGATAAATGCAGAGAGTATAAATTCGAACGACAGCAAATTGTGTATACGAAAATATGTTTTCACACTCACCTTTTCGGATTTTAACGGCATGTCAAGGACAAAAATAAAATAAATCTTACTTGATGATGAATCAAATAAAACTATATCAAATTTTAGTTTTCCAGTTTTTTATTAGCTTTTGTTAATGAACTATTTTATTTTAGTTCGACAAAGTTAATATTTTTGTCATGTGATATTATTTCGAATATAAATTGATCTTGAAACAAGATTCATAAGGACCTATGAAAAATCACAAATAACCTTTTCTACATAAGTTCATAACGATAAACATTCGACTTAAATAATGTTGTTTTTTCGAATAATAAATTAAATATAAATAGAGAACCATTTCATTCCATTACTTTCTCCTATTTACTTTAAATAAGACAATGTAAAGAACATTTAAGTATAAGAAAAATATTCTATTTGATAGATCTCAAACAGTACTATGATTTTTAATTTTCGTCGATGATTTATTAAAGAAAACTGCTTTATACAATTGAATCAATGGTCGACATATGTATAATTAATGGGGTTTTCTTTTTGTCAGATCAATTGATTCACGGTTCTTCCATATTCAGCATTCATTATTGACTATTTCCATTTCATTGCTCTAGTGAATTTCTATAGAAATGAATAAGAAACACAATGATATAATTAAAAATAACAATTAAGTTTATAATCTTCTTGAATATTTTTATTTTTACAAACAATTGTACCATGTCTATTGCATTGAAGAAAAGAATTTTTTGTTAATAAAATAAAAAGAAAATGAATATGTTAAAAACTAATTAAATCTTCCTCTACTATTTACATTATACACAAAAGAAATATATATTCAAACAACTTGTCTTCTGTTTTTTTTTTGTTTTCATTATCATGCTTTTATATATATATACCCAAGGGATGGATCTTTATGCGAGAGATATACAATTTAAAAAGAAAAAAAAACAAGATTAATTGTTTTCTCGACCATATTTTAATCATTATAGGATGTATCACCCATTATTCCAGATGATGAGAATGGTGGTAAAGCCGGAAAAAGTTCTCTTGGTGATGGTGGTGGTGGGATCATTTGATTCTGAGCTGCTTCAAGAAATGGTAAAAGTAGACCGTTGTTTGAATTATCTATTAAAAGAAATTTTTTTTTATAAAATTTAAAAGAAAAAAAATTTCTTTACCATCATTAGAATCAAACAGACTGTTCACTGAACGACTTCGAACACATTGAAAATCAACATGACGTGATTTCGCTTCTTCTTTTTCCCATGACATACGAAGAAATGGTCTTTGAATATAACTATAAATCGCTAAAATGAGAAAAAAGAAAAAGAATAACTAACTTCAGAGAAATTTTTTAATATCAATTACCTTCTGGTCTTGCACGGGGACGACAACGAACTTTTTCTTTATGTGTTGGATAACCTTCAATACCCATACGAATTTTTTTTAAACCACGATCTTTTAAAACTAATTTTGCAACTTCACGATTTTCAATATATTTAAAAAATCGATACATTGCCGTCGAACGTATAACTAAATTTAAAAAACAAGAACGATAATTTACAATGGAGATTTTCAGAATAGCTTTTTCTATGTTGACTGTGAAAAATGTTCTAACTCTTATTTTAGCCTGCAAAGTAGAATAATTCAGCACATCTCTAATTAATAATTAGTTTTATTGTTGATAAGAGACTAAAAACATTCAGGTACATGAATAGTAAAGCAGGAATTTTCGGAAGTTTGATATGAACTTCGGTATTCATTTGAGAATATCAAATAAAAGAATGGAACCATGAAGTAGACAATAGATGAAGAAATAATTCTCTTTCCTCATAATTTTAAAAGTATTAAATCCAATCAAAAGATAAATCTTATTAATCGTTAGTTGAAGTCATTCCAAACTGTATTATATCCTAATTATTCAATAAATGCTTTCGTAACTAATATAAACAATACACTAATCAAATTTGATTAATCGGAAAGATATATATATATATATTAATAGGAATATAATAAATATAAATTATTGTCATACTTTGAGCTTTATCTTCTTCTTGACCAAGTTGTGGTGGATAATCATCATCCCATTCAATTAAATCATCATCACATAAAATCACTATTTGGCATTCACGATCTCCACGCTAATGAAAAAAATGAACGAATTTTTTTTTTCTTTAGTGTTTAATATATATATATATATACTTGAGCAGATTCAACAAGAACAGGAAAAATATCTTTTTCAAGAAATATTTCAAATTGTCGTTTTGCACCATCATTTGATAATTCATGTAATAAACCACATAAATCTTGACATTGAATTGTTATTTGATCAAATGGTATAAGAAAATAATCACAAGCTTCACGAAGATCTTGAATACTAACTGACGGTGGACAACGTATTGTTCCAACACTATAGAAATCCTAGAAAAGAAAAATATTTCTATCATTAAAAAACAAAACAAAAACAATCTTTACTAATAAAGCTCGAAATATTGTTGCAGATATTCCATTAGCTATTTCATATTCTCCTCGTTCATTCGGTACAAGTGATGTTTCCCATGATGAACTAAACATTCTACCAAGCATTGTATTTGTATGTGCACGAAATAATTGTGGATCAATAACAAATCTTGTTTCATCAACAACAAGTGTGACACGATCCGGATTATTTGTTGCTATTGTTGTTGTTGTTGTTGAAACAATTGTTTGCTCTTGATTTTTTCTATTAACTATAGTTCGATTTGGACTTGGTCGATTTTCTTCCTTATGATGAACATCAACAGTAACATTAAATGATTGCACAGCTTTATGTCGATTACGAGAATGATAATGATGATTAGTTGGAGCACCAATAATAATAGATGATGAATCATGTGGTGTAGGTGATACAGATTTTGATCTTGCACGTAATTTATGAGGTTTTATAGGATGAGGTGGAATTTGTAATTCAGGACTTGTTGAACCTATAAAAAAAAAATTAACAAAGTTTTTTTTTCATAGTTTTCCATACCACTGGGAACTTTAAGAATTCCATGTGTTGGTTGTTCATTTATACGTGATATTAAATGATTTTGTAATTCTTCATCACTTGTTGATGTTCTATGTACAAGACAAGGTTTCATTTTATTATTCATACGTTTGGTTCTAGAAGAGAAAAAAAAAAAAAAAAAAAACATTATTTTTATATTAATATAATTATTCGAAAAGGTTCTATTTTCTGTTTCGTTTTTACCCTCGATGCTTCGAAGATAAGTTTGTTGATGATGATATGTCATTCGTATTATTGGTTTCGTCTTTTGGTGAATCAGAATCATATTGTATATCATCATCAGTATCTGTACTGGCATCATGTGATGCTGATGGTTTTTTATTTGATGTTGCCATTATAGTTTATATTACATCACGTATAATCGATTGATATTGTTTCATATATTAAAAACATATATATGTATATAATATATATATTATATATTTCTGGATGTTACGGAGAAAAAAAAAAGAGAGAATTATAAACGAGTAAGAAAAGAGAATGCAAGGAGGAAGAAAAAGGGACATGCAATTATAACAATGGAAATGGCAAATTTTTTTATTGACTGTAAAAGATGGCAAATCAATTGACGATGATGTCGCTATTGGTCGTAAGAGATAAATCAAAACATATGTTTATGATTATTTGAAGAATTTATTGTTTATTATTGAAAAGAATATGTCATAAAAAACTTTAGACGAAAATAGTATATGAATAACAATGACATAATTCAAGTGATTCATATAATAAAGATGATATAGTTGTTGTTGTTTGTAAAAATGTATTACTAAATCAAATATTTCAATTATTGTCATATTTTGTAGAATATTAAAATAGATAAGACAGTAAAATTAAATTATAGCAACAAATAATATGGAATTTTATCTTACGAAATAAATATTTATGTAAAGACAATATTGAATAATATCAAAATGTTCAATTTGATTAAGTATTTTTATAAAATGATAAAATTTATATTCAAAAAAAGGAAATAAAATTATTCTGATGATTGTCCCGTGTTACTTGTTTGCTTGCATTACCATAGAATCCGTAAGTATCGACGATTCATTGACAGTAGATTACGAGTCAGAGACCAACTATCTAAATACCAAACTATCGACGGTTAACTGTCGGTATACCGGTGACTTTTGTCCTATTTGAATCATATGGCACGTGTTATTCGACAACTTATATCATTCTGACCGGACAAAAAATTACCCGTATACGGATCGGTACAATGTATCCTGTAACGTATCGTATCAGAACGGTTCAATATTTTTTAAGTATGTTAAAGCTGATAGAATGACACGAGTTCGATGCACTCTCGTTATGCTGACGTGTCGGAGCCGCTTGTTATAATAGTTACAAAGCTCAAATCGACCCAAGTTTTAAGAAAGGTTTTTTATTATAGGTAGCGCTGCAAAAAATTTTATTTGTAAAATATATTCTGAAACTGATTTTTTTTCCTTGATGAATTTGAATTCATCCTAGTAATAAATTCGAATTCGGTTAAGAAACATTCTTTGCAATCGTTTATAGCGTTGGAACTGAAAGTTGTAAGAGCTATGGATGATACTGCGGATAAATGTGTGACATGAAATAGTTCATGATCAATATTTCTATTTGCTTTATCTCTGCTATTTTAAGTACTTTAGTTAAGTCTACGTGTATGAATTACTATCCCTATTTTCTCTTGTTTTCATAATTCAGATGATGCAAGATTTTGATTTTGTTCATCTGATGACATAGTTCGATGTCTCGAGTAGGAGAGAGAAGGAGTCCTCTTAATCTTGATTTTTCTTCAGCATTTTATTATTATTGTTACTTACCAACTCCTCGAAAATGTTCAATCCTCTTCCCAAAATCTGATCAATTTTAACACATCTTTCAAATGACCTTTTGAGTTATCGACTTTCCGCTCAATCCTGCCCATTTCAGAACAACCTAGTCGATGCTGAAAATAGAGAGATAAAAATCGTTGAAAGATCAATGAATTGAAAACATAATCGCTATTATTTTATCGAAACTCATACAATGAGATTGATAGATAAACTGTCAATGGATCATAAAAAGGATTCTTCTATGAATGTCAAGAGAAAGATTGAAAAAAAAATGATGTTATAAAAATAGTGTTGATTTTTCTGCTTGTACAGTAATTATTTATTCACAAATCTATTACAAAATTCAAACTAAACAATATGAACGAATATAGTCAAAACAAAATATTCTCGCATTTTCAGTTACTTCAAGTTCAACTAAAAAATTGCTTCAATTTGATATTATCTGACCATAAAAAGAAGAATTTTTCAAAACTATATTCTGATTTCGTTCTATTCGAACACTGATGAATTCAAAAAAGATTGTTGGAGCACACTAAAATAATTCTGAAACATTGTGAGTGTCATCAAAATTTTTCAAGTTTGAATTATAAATACTGCTTTTAACACATCAAATAATTAAGTAAAAAAATATATATTCACCTTCATCTTCTATAAGGATCTATTCAATTATATGATGAAGATTCGATTTCAAGTAGTTTAATCACAATTGATTAGTGTGTTACCGATCGAAAGCTTCAGAAAGTTAGATGCTAATTCACGTATACTCGAATTGTCAATAATTTCATTAGTTACTGTCAATTTAAAGACTGCAACTTAGCTATAGCAAATATGAAATAATTTTGAGAAAGAATATTGTCTTTATACAGCTAGTTGGTGGTATAGATATCTGTTGTTCACTCTTTTTTTTATGCTTGATTATGTTCTATTTTGAAATCAGATATCATCATATAAATGAATTTCTCTATTCGTGATTTACAGAATCAAATTGGAAGAACTGCACCAACAATAATTCGATATATGTTATGAAGAAGTTTTCTTTCGTCGACGATAGGCAAGATCAATTAGTATAAGAATTCTTACATTTAAGATTATCCTCTTAAAGGAAGTCAATTTTCGTCAGAAAAATCGAAAATGAGATAAATGCATAGGATAATAGCTTGAGATTTGATCTTTCGTAAATGACATGATTTTTCAGAGAAAGTAGAAAATATTTTCGCTTCTTCTCTGATCACACATCCTAACATTCTTGTAATCGTTGTTCTTCTCAGAAAAAGTAATCATTTCATTGGATACAATGAGTTATTTTTGGCCCTTGTTTCTTAAATATCTCTCGAAAACTTCATATTATAGGACTAAAACTTGTAACATAGCCTCTCAGCTACTGTCTCAAGATGTACTGAAGACTTCATATGCTTTGAATATACATGACGCAAGATCGATTTTTAAAGGGAGTAACCTTAATAACTTTCTACTTGTCGATGAGAAACGACAAATCTCGCTCGATTTCATCAAAATTCTTCCTACTCATCAATGATGTGAATTACTTTAAAGGCAAAACAAGAAGTTCTTTTCTCTCAATGAACCCTCTATTTCACATTGATAAAATTTAAAATATTAACAATAATAATTGGTTTTTATCATGTGTAACTCAAATTAACAGATGACCATGAAAAAAAATGCTAAACGCTTATTGAATACCAACAAGAAGAAGCATTTCCAATTGCAAATAAATGTCATGCAAGGAGTCAGTTGTTGATTCTATTACTACAATTTGGTAAGGTCGAATATGTATATTCAATTATAGTATACTATAAAATAGATGTCATATACAGTAAAAGTTCTACCAGTGAACTATTTTCTTATTATAACCTTTGCAATGTGAATATATATATATTTTTTTTTGACCTCTTTTTCTCTTCTGCCACCTGTTTCGTACGCACTCTAAGTCAGTGCATTGTGTATATATGATTCAACTGCTATATACGTAAAGTAAAGAATAACATTATGGCACAAGCTTACTTTGCAAGAAAACATACGATTAATTCATGATAATAACGATGGTAACGGTTTATCACAATATAAATTGTGATGAAAAATATGATATTTCACTTAAGTTTTTATCAAATATTTTAAAACAGAATATTAAATGATTATGAAATAAATTAGAATTAATATGTTAGACGAAAATTAAAAGGTGTTAACACATAAAAACTAGACGATCAAATGTACGAATTGTTTACACAATGAGACTACAAAAAAAAAAAAATTCGTTCAAATGCAAAAAGACAAATAAAATTAGAAGATTCTTAAAGAAAAAAAAATGACGATTAAATTTTGTGTTGTACTTGAAAAATCTTTCGATTCAAATCATTCAGATAAACAAGTGAATAGATATGCAGACATTTATCTATGACTAATATAGAAGCTGATTTTCTGCAACGTTACCTTTATTACACAAAAAATAATGCTTTAACTATCTCTGAAGTGAACAACTCCGTATAGTAAACACTTTTTTGAGTGCTTCTGATGATGTTCACAATACGGAAGTTTTATTATAGATAGAAAACATCTATAATAAGCTTGAATGCATTAACTATCAAAACAATAAATATAAGAAAATGTTATCATCTCATAAAAAAAGTTTCGAAAAATTTGCCGAAGGAGTTCTTTCTTCGTATCATATTTCTTTAGCTAATACATATAATATCATCCGTTTTGGTATGTAATTATGTAGGAGAACACTTTGAAATATTTCCCTTCTTTGCAAAAGCACTCCAAATACAAAAGAAGCATTCTTCTTCCACAATATTTGTTGTGAACTCATAAATATGTAAATATCAATTTGTTGAATGAGAATATAAAAGAATATTCAAAAATATTAGTAATATTGCATCGTATTTATTTACTATCTCTTCTAGATTATCTTGATGGTCAGATGTATGAAACAATCTTAGAATTTAGAAAAATAATAAATTTCTTTTTGTTTGTTCGAAAATACATTTTGGAATTAAAAAATATAAGGAAAGTACATATGCACGAAAAAAAAAACAAACTTTTCATAGTAGATAGAGGACGTTGATCGACAAGATAAATGGTACTTGTATGGACGTGTATCATGAAAATTTTCTCGAATATTTCACGTTTAAATAAGATTTCTTTAGTATCGAATCATGACTTTTATTTCTTCTTTCATATTACGAAAATACTGTTTCTGTTGTTTTCTTCATTTCTCATGTATTAATAAACTAGATATTCATCTGAATTTTTCACTTCTCTAAATTAATGTTAATACGTAACATTAACATTGATTGATATTATTTACTCTAGTGTTGTAGAAGTTAATGTAATATTCCATTTGAGTAAGATGATTTTAAATAGAATTGAATACTTTATTTAATAAAATATGAAGACATGTCTATCATAGCATTTTATAACAAAAAAGAAAAAAGAAGAAAACAATGCACTGATTATGTATCTCTCTTTCTGAGAAGGAAAACAAATGATATTGATAAAAA